GGAACGACGTGGCCTGGAACTTCGAGAAGTTCCTCATTGGGCCAGACGGGGTGCCCTTTAAGCGCTACAGCAGGAGGTTCCTCACCAGCGACATCGAGGAGGACATCAAGAAGCTCCTCAGTCAGGCGACCTAACCACCCAACAGCTCACCCTGGCCCAATTATGTCCAGGAATAAATCAGGTTCCAACTTGTAATTCACCAGGGAGACATCCGTGGGCCTTTTCTATTCCCTCCGTGGTTTCTCCAGATGTTGGCATCACCTGTGCTCTCCTGTGTCTGATAGCTGTGTTGTTTGTTTTTACTACATGAAGACGTCCTCTGAAACCAGGTGTAAGGGGGGTGTCGGATGAAATGTAAAAGATGCAATGTCTACAGCTTCATCGGTTGCACGTAAAGCACGGTTGTGGTGTGATGCGAGGACCAATAAAAGTTTTTATCCAAACTTTGTCTTTTTAATTGTCCCCCAAACCTTCAGCTCTATGCCATCGAAGCATTTATAAGTTTCTATTATCTTCCTTTTATTATTTGAATACTCTTTAGCAAGTAGAGGTAGAGTAAGCTAACTTAAAAACATTTTTGCAAAATCACTGATGTACTCCGTGGCCTCTACTTGCAGCCACACACTCTTGCACGCTGTGGCAGATCATAGTCCATTTTGCCACCAGACAGCAGGAGTGGCTAGTAATTATATTGCATCACCTGCAACTATAGGTTATGTTGCAACACAGATGTTTTCTGTTCAGCCTCACCCGGTTGCCCATAATCACAGCAGAGATTTAAGTTCAGGGTGTGGGTCAGTTTGCTGTAGTGTTTAGATTTGAGATGTTTTTGAAAGCAAACGTTGTGGAGATTTATAGTGCCTTCCTAAAGTGGAAGGTAAATGATACACGAGTTTTTCCAGTTTTACAACTTGAGGTCTTTGGGGTTATGTATCAAACCACATTTGCACATCCAGAGAAAACAGTTTAAGCTCAGTCAAATGACATGGAAAGCATTTTTTATTTCGAGTCTTGCCACAGGTTCTCAGAGTGTTTTTTGTTCTGCGCTTGTCCTGTGTGTCTGCAGCTTCTCCAGTTACTACAGGGTTACTACAGTTAGCCGCATATCTGATTAATACTCACCTTGCAAGCACCATCTGCTGAGGTGTGTGGCCACACCTAGGCAGCTTTGCAGACCGGACACAATCTCCAACCTACTCGGTGAAATGTTCAAAGCTCACAGTGCACAGTTCAGTTAAGGGACACTTGGGGGGGGGGGGGGAAGGGTGGCAATAAACCTTTTTTTTTTTTTTTTTTTTTTTGGGGTGGTAATTTTAAAAGG